CGGACTCCACCATGTCCTCCCATGGTTCTCGACGGGGGCTACCACTGGGTTGCTTGTAGTTACCTCGCTCGATCACCAACAAATCCACTGGGTAAGTGTTTAGGAGCCCCTTCCAAGATCGGTGGGGTTCAAAGAGCACTACCGGTACCGGTGGGTCTTCCAAGTCCGACGAGGGACGGACAGACTAGTTGGTGTGTTTGGAAGCCATCAGCCATGAATCAGTTCACACATCACCAATCCTTGATCGAAGCTGTTTGTTTTGTATTTTGATACGGAAATGAAGCACCTATCATTGGTAGTCCTGCTATCGCTGATAGAATTTTGTGGGGCTTTCAGTCTCACGCAGCAATCTAGAATGAACCAATCAAGACTCTACGCAGGTCGTTCTCGATCACGTGTCACAGACCCTGCTGGTCCAACCCCCGTAGAAGAAGAAGAGGAGGTTGAGGAAATAAGCTTAGAAGATGTCGAAGAATTCAAATATGATCCAAATAATCACCCAATTCCCCACCAGCCATGGCGTCGTGGAATAACTGCTGGTTGTGAAGATCCAATCGATGCTTCATGGCGCATACGGGCAGAGGCCCTTATTGAAAAGTCGATTGAAATGACGGGAGGAAAGCTGATCGGTGTTACATGGTTTCTGGCACATCTGCTCATCACCATCGATGACGATTTCAGTGAAGTTCCAAGGGATCTTTTGAAGACGAGTGGTCCTGTGATTAACGTGGTGGAACCAGAAAATCCGATCTTCCGTGACCCTGCTGATCCTGTTCCCGAGGATATTTGGGCTGACGAGGAAATTGAAATGCCTTCTAATGACGAAGTGATGGAAGCAGCAGAAGACCTCAAGTCAAAAATGTATGCTCGTCCAGAAGAAGGGGAAGAACCTTTGGACTTGGATGAAGAGGATATTCCGACATTCCAATCTGCAGAAACGCGGGAAGATAAAGCTCTTCGTGTCGCAGAGGAGGCTTCGGAGAGAATCAATGATCTTGAATACCAAATTGACATCGAAGCTTTAAGGATCAACACTCCGGCGATCTCTTCGATTGCTGGTGCAATCATTGAGGCGCTGGAGACAGAGGAAAAAGAACTCCGGATTCTCGAGCGCCACGAAATTGTACTCTGCAGTCCTGGAGCTCCAGATGTGCTCGAAACACAAAAAGAGTTTGACTCTCATCGAGGCCGTGATGTTGCAGTTGAAACAGTAGACCCATGGGACTCAAATCGCACCTTGCGGGGGAAGCTTTTGGATCGGAATTCAATGGACATTTTGATCAACCAAAAGGGAAGGATGGTGACTATCCCTCAAAATTTTGTCAAGTGCGTGAGGCTTCCAAACGAAAAAGGAAAACATGAAGGAATTGAGGACTCGAAAGAAGGGTAAGCGAAAAATTTGACTTGGAAAAGGTTGGCGATGGATGATGTTGGTGCAGTCCGTGGCCGTGCAGTCCGTGGCCGTGCAGGTACGAGTAGAACCGGTACAACATTATGGTTAGTATTTTTTAGAACCGGAAGGAGTTCTGTATCCTGCAGAAATACTGCACAACATTATTTTATAATATTGATTTATAGATTCGGACATATAATCAGTTCCACGCGCATTCACAGGTGTATCCTTCGGGAAATAGATTTCGGAAGTAGGAGCAGGCATCGGCGAGATCTTCATCTGGGAATGTTTCATTGAACAATACGTTCCCTAGGACAATGGATCCCCCAACCAGTCCAAACAATCCAATGCTTCCCCAAAGCATTCGAATGAATGGGGACGCAATTTCGCGAGCAAACAGTAACATTCCTCCCATGAATCCAGCAAGAAGTCCTCCCACATGACCAGAGAAGTCAATGTACGTGAATGAACTTACCAGAGAGATGACCGCCATACTACACATAACGCCACTCAGTTGGTCAAGATGCACTGTATCGTAATATGCATTGTTCTTTAGGTCGAAAGCAGTCCAAGTAATGACATGGGCAATCTTCGCACCAAACAGACCCATCAGTGCACCTGAGCTGCACACACCGATACTGTCAGGATTTACAGCAGAAGATGTTGCAACACACCCGAGGGAGCTGATGATGTACAATACTAGCCACTTGGTGGATCCCCATTCTCTCTCGAAATAAGCACACGTTTCTAACTGGCAGAATGCATTCACCAGGAGGTGTAGTATTCCCACGTGAAGGAACGCAGGAGTTAGGAGTCGGAAGTACTGGTTGCGCTCAATCAGCAGGTATGAGTTTTTCCCACCCCACTCAGAAAACGCATCAGGGAAAGGTCCAATCATTGGGTTGACATCGACAGGTGCAACGCCGCAGAGAATCAACTGTGACAGCAATAAAGTAAGCTGTAATGCCGAGATAGCAATGCATAGGTACGCTATACGCTGTTTTACAACCACAACTTCGCTTTCTTGGCTCATGAGACCCTCGGAGTTAATTGTCGGTAACGAAAGCATCTCTCTGTTGAGCTTCTTTGGCATGCGTTTTTGATTTTTGGAAGAAACTCCATTAGCAGAATAAATGAGATTCGAACTTTGCGAGTTTGTCCCCGAATATGATCTGTTATGGGTTGAAGTATTGTCGCCAGTTTCACCGGCGGTAAGCTGGGATTCGTAAAAGGAGAATCCTGCAGCGCCCGATTTCTCAATGCCACGAAGTGACTCTTGGGGAGCTGGTGCTTTGTAACCTGTATCCACGTTATCAACATGGTCAGTTTCTTGCATTTTCTGAGTTTCACTTTCGTCAGGGCCGCCAAGTCTTGATCGTCGATCCGCAGTGTGATTGATGGATGCACCTTGACTGGTTTCAACTTTTTCCAAATTGGCGATCGATGCGATCGCCATTTGTTGATTCGCGCGATATGCGCGATTCCAACCAACAAACGCATGCATGCTCGTTCTCGGAAGCGATCCTTCAATTTTGGCTGGAAAGGTAGGCCCTCATTTGTACCTTGCTTTGCGCCTGCAGAAGCAAGTTATTTAAATCTGTGCACCCTCAACATACAGCTCCCGCCCGGGACCGGGCAGCTTCAAACCCAGCTGCAACTAATCTATCTGTGCTGCAGGAATAAGCCTGACTAAGACGAGCGCAGTTTCGGGAACAACAAGAGCAACTGAAGATTGCAGACTGTTTCATCAAGCCTAATTTGGACCGCACGTACCTATCGACTCACAAAGTAGAAGCACGCACGTTGCTCTTCGAAGCATAGGTGATCGGAACTCACAGCTTACTATGTCCCGAATTCAGACGACAACAATCGGCACCCGGCCCACACCTATTGAAGTGCCTCCCTTGAGATTCTTGATCATGGATGCTCCTAGGCAGGGTAACTTACACTTGTATATTCGCGAAATGAGAAATCATTCTGTGACTGACGTAGTCCGCGTTTGCGAACCAACCTACCAAGTGACAGAGTTATTGTCAGCTGGAATTGCCCTTCACGACATGGAATATGCAGATGGCCAGTCACCTCCAAAAGATATCATTGATCAATGGCTGAAGCTGGTTGAAAAAACTTTCTTTGCAAATGCTAGTGACTCTGCGAAAAGTTGCATTGCGGTACATTGTGTTGCAGGGCTTGGACGAGCCCCGGTAATGGTCGCGCTTGCTTTGATTGAATTTGCAGGTATGGATCCGGTGGAGGCCGTGTCTTTGATCCGAAGACACAGGCGAGGTGCAATCAATGAAAAGCAACTGCTATACCTCGAGGGGTACAAAAAGTCCTTTAAGAGTGCCGGGGGAGCGTCGTGTTGTGTTATATCTTAATTTACAGAGTCTCGAAATTGCAAAATATTGCTACTTGAAGAATTTAAAGACATCTTTTTAAAATTACCAACTTGTCCAACATGTGTTGCAAAATTAGTTCGCGTTTTTGAATTGCCTTTCAGTGACGCCAGCGCCCATGGCAGCTGTGCTCGAAGCACCTCCAGTAGAGACGTTGATCATTTGATCAATTAGCTCTGCGCCTGACCATCGTTGATGGGTAAGTAATTCAACTTGGTTCTCGCGCTCCTGGCGTTGGATGTCTTGAACATAAGACACGATTCCACGATCGGCAAATGATCTCGCAAGTTTCGTAATTACCAAACCATTGGCGTGAAAGCCTGCCAGTGTAATGAATTGCCAGACATATCCAAGAGAGCCTAGTTCGTCATTGAATGCTGACAATTCTTCATCAGTCATTCCAGACGCATCCCAGTTGAAACTTGGAGACAGGTTGTACGCGAGCATTTGTTCTGGATACTCCTTGTGAACACCTTCGCTAAATATTTTCGCCTCAGGAATCCCCGGCTTTCCTGTCTCCATCCAGATGATGTCACAGTATGGAGCATATGCACAAGCTCGCTGTATGCAAAACTCTAAAAACAGCCATGAGTTTTCGGAGTTTACTGTGAGTTCAAGAGCTACTGGTGTGGCTTACCGATTCCAGATCGCACTCGATAGTACCCCTCCCGCGCACGACAAAGGTCCCAATCGAAATAAACCTGACAAAGTAGGAATTATGGGCCATTGCTTGTGAGCAATCTTTCATTCAGCAAAGAAATTTGATCTTGTACTCACCGAGTTCTTTTGTCCAAAAATCGAATCGGCGACTGCCCGCGCTTTCGAAAGCGAGAGAGACTTGGGATTGCTACGAAGCCAAGTAGATTTCATTGCGTGTTTTTTGGTATCAGAGATGCCAAGGCTTTCTATCTGCCAGAAGACGGCTTCTCCAAAGGTCATTAACCGGGCCTTTTGCTCCCATTCTCGAGCAGCAGCAGATTTATCTTCTGCATTTAGCACAGTAGCACGCAAACTGAGAAGCCCTGGCCTTGTTACTCCTAGAATGAAAGGATGGTCGCGAATATCGACGTTTGAGTCCAAAAGGGTTGCTGCTTCCGCATCGGTACGTGCCACAATGATCAGACTAGTTCCCAAAACATCACTTGCCAACCTCGCCGCGACCAATCGATCGATGTGTTCTTGTGTAGCAACCAGAACCTTGCCTCCCATGTGACCACATTTCTTAGTTCCACTACAAGAGAAGTGTAAGGTATGGTCTGAATTCTCGACCAAAGAGTGCTGCTAAACCGAACTTACGGCTTTTGATCTTCAAAGTGAACGCCTGCGGCGCCAGCTTCCACAAACAGCTTGGTGAGTTTCATTACAGCGGACAAGCCGCCGTGACCTACACGTAAAGAGAATTGTGAGGCGATGTTATTGCGATTGGATAAGACATGTATGAATGGAAACGAATTTACCTGTGTCCCCGTCGGCAACAACTGGGGTTAGGAAATCGACGCCTGAATCTAGCTGATGTCCCTTCAAAAGCCTTGACGATCTTTCGAAGTGCTGTCTACGATCATGATGAAGTTGAGCTCGAACTAGCTGGTCAACCTTGTTAGGCACGGTATTCATGGGATAGTCTGCAAAATCGGGTCCTGGCTCGTTTGTGGTGCTCGCCGTACTTGAGCATTGCCAACCGCTCACATAAATACTAGTCAGGTGAGGTGCCATTTGAATAACTTGAACAGGGTCAAGAGATCCGAATGTATGCGAATAGCCACCGATTTTGTGAAGCTTAGTTAGCATGGAGAAGAGCTTTTTGGACTGACTATTCGAAAAACTCGTCTCTTTAGTGCCTGCAGAGTTCCTGAGGCATGCTATATCAAGTGCTGAGTAACTACGTTTGGTATTTTTCCAACGATCTTCCGACCACCACTTTTCAATAGTTGCAGCTTCTGTCTTCAAGGAATCATACTCCGCTTTTGGTTGAATATCAGACGCCTTGAACTTTAGGGAGCGTAGCCCACGAGATACCTTTGGTTCAGCAGACATTGCTTTTGAGCAAGATGCTTTATTATATGTGGTTACTCTTGTCTTGAGAACCTTGTTGACCGTTGTCAAGTTGGTGTCAGAGGCGTCAATGACGCGTAGAGTTTCTTGATGATGCTTTCATGATGTTGCGAACGAACGGTTGAAGGACGAGCGCAGTTCGCATCCTCACAAGTCGAACAAGTCACTGGCTGTGCAGAGCTGACGACTGCAATACGACGTCCCGATAATCTAAAATCATTGCCAAGATGTGGTTCCTCCTATCAACATTCTTGCTTGTCGCAGCTATAGCTGCAGAGGAGGAATCGAAGACACCCCCATACTTTTTTCTCATTGATGGATCAGATCAGCTGTGCTTGTCTGGAGAAGAGTTCAAACGATGCTCAATCGATAGTCTGTTCTACGTCGTTGGATCTCCAGGTGCGTATGTGGCTTGTTCTCGCTTTGTCTTTTCGGCAATATACTCATCTATATTTCATCTTTCAGGAACATATGAGATCCATAAACGACCAATAGATGGAGTGTTGGATGAGGAGGAGGATGGCACATGCCTTGCAGTCAAAACTTGCGCAGAAGCTGACCTTAACAAACGATCAGAGGCCAAGCTTGCAAAGTGCTCTTACTGCGGTTCCAAAGATTGGAATATTGTAGGTGACACTGACACTGGATATATCTTAACTCATAACGACGGCAAGACGTGTTTGGTGCGAGAGTCTGGAGGAACTGCAGCTATGACAGGACCTTGTGATGTGAAAAACGCAACTGCGTACACACCACTCAAATTACAGTTTGCTTCTGCAGCGGACATCAAAACAATGAGTTCTCATGGCGCTCGATTGATTGGAGCTGCGAGTGATGGAGATAAGGGGGCAATCGAGTCGATGCTCAAGGATGGAGTTGATGTGAACGTCCGTGATTGGGATGACCTAACTGCGCTCATTCCAGCAGCATCTTCTGGACAGCTAGATATTTGCAAAATCCTTGTTGGTGCAGGAATAGATGTCAATGCGAAAGATAAAGATGGAATCACGGCACTAATGGAAGCCAGTATCATGGGCCATACTCACGTGGTCAAATATTTGATCGAAAGTGGGGCAAATGTGGAGGAAGCAGCTGCATCCGAGGTGACGGCATTGTGGTTGTCAGCCAGCGAAGGTCGTGTCGACGTTATGAAAGAGCTGCTAGAGAATAGCGCTGATGCATCGAACACACGGGTGGACGGGATCTCAGCTTTGATGACTGCATCTGTGGGGGGGCACGTGGACGCCGTGCAGCTGTTGCTTGAACATGGCGCCGATCCTATTCATACGGATCGTGATGGCCTTACCCCTTTGATGAATGCCGCTGAGAACGGATCAGTGGAGATTATGAAGTCTTTGATCGACCGTGTTGATGATCAATCATATGTGAATATGATGTCTAATACGGGGTTCAGCGCTCTCATCATTGCGTCAGCGCACGGGCATTTGGAGGCGGTTGAATATCTAATCGCTTCCGGAAGTGAAATTGATGCAGTATACAGCAATGGAGTTACAGCTCTCATGTACGCGGCCGCATCAGGTCATGCATCGGTGATGGAGGCGCTGATTGGCCATGGGAAAGCAAGTCTGGATTTGAAGCACACGAATGGAGGAACTGCTCTCCTTGAAGCAGCTTCTAGCGGGATGGTCGAGGCAATCAAAGTCCTTGTAGCGAATGGAGCCGAAGTTGATTTTGTCGATGACGATGGGGTTACCCCATTGATGGCAATTGCTTCACAAGGAAACGCAGAGGCTCAATCAACAATCTTGGAAGCGCTCAAGAAGTCAAAATCATCACAGGATCTGGTAGGCCACATTAACCTATTGTCACATTCTGGTGGTTCATCGGTCATGTTTGCTGCTGCCGGAGGACATGTAGCTTGCGCCGAAGAATTGATCAAAAGTGGAGCAGATGTGGTCGCAATTGCGCGCGCGCAACCTGGTTACGAGGAGAAGCTAGCAAAGATGATTGAAGAAGGTCAAGTTCAAGAAGAGGAACCTCATGTAGATGGAGTTACTGCGCTTCATGTGGCATCCCAAGGCGGCTACATTGACATGGTGAACACGCTACTAGAAGCGGGGGCGGATGTCTCCCATCTTGACGATTCGAAAAGATCTGCACTTGTTATGGCTGTGCAGGGAAACCATGGCGAAGTTGCAAGCATTCTAGTCACTGCAGGTTCTGATCCAAACACAGCCTATACAGACGACGATGGTGTCGTACATAACCTGCTTTTCGATGCCATTGTTGTTGAGCATGAGGAGTTTGCGACGCTTCTGATCCAGCATGGGTGTAACATATACCATAAGGACGACAAGAACGTCAATACCCTCCTTCAAGCAAGCCATCGGGGGTTGCATCGCGTAGTCGAAGCTCTCCTTGAAAAGCATGGAAAAGCCGACACTCCATTTATAGATGATGCAAGTGATGACGGTATAACTCCACTCATCGCAGCATCCTCTGAGGGTCATGGAGATTGCGTCCAGCTGTTGATAGCCGCAGGCGCAAGTCTCGATATGAAGGATACGGATGGGACCAACTCTTTGATGGCTGCTGCAGCTCGTGGACATTTGGACGTTGTGTCCAAGCTTCTAGCGGCAGGTGCAAAGATCAACGAGCAAAATGTTGACGGCCATACCGCACTCATGTTCGCCTACAATGGAAAGAATCAAGTTGAAACCTTATGGGAAAGATACAATCAATTTGTCTCCGAATCTCAAGCCGACGAAGAAAACAAGGATAATGTTGATGACAACGGTACCGGAAAAACCATCCGCGAAGCTTTGGATAGTCATTCGTCTCTCGTACAACTTCTCTTAAAGAATGGTGCCGATGCTTCATTGAAGGACAAAGAGGGTCATGTCGCCAAGGACTTTGATTTCCATCCCGACATTGACGGTGAAATCCTAGACAAGGAATCCAAAGCTGAAGAAGTTCGGGACAAGAGTGAACATGAATTGTAGATACCTCTGTCTATCGAGAGAGAAATACCGAAGCTATAGCATGGAATTGACGTACGATATTGATGGTTTTCTGAAAGGTTTTGTCTACTACCGGTAGAATTGAATTGCCCACAAGCCCGAATGAGGGCTGATGCTGTTACTCTAGAGTTGGTGAGCAAAAAGGCTCCTATAAATTTGCTTCAACCTGCGTCTAAACCAGTAGTCTGCAATTTCAATTTGCGGGGTCGTGAAAACTGCTCAGTCTATACGAATTACAGTAGGGTGGGAAAGGACAATTTATTCTTCCTCAATCTTTGGTGCCAAGTAGTACTTGACGTATCCGTAGTCTTGAATGGGATACTCGATTACAACAGGTACTTCCGGGCTCATGCTGATCATAACATGATCAGACAGGCTTGTTGCCTTTGTGAAGAAGTTCAGATATCTCAACGCGAAATTGAGTTCCACAGGTTCTTCCATGTCAATGATAACCTGGTCCTTCTCTTTTTCAGCTGACGCATTGGCACGCGTCAAAATATTACCGGTACCAATGTTTCCAGTAACACTAAAGCGCACGCCTTCTTTTCCACAACTGATAGTGCATGTATCACCCAATACCTGCAAATCACGAACAATTCTTTCGAACTCTCGAGAAGGCATCTTTATAGAACACTTGTATGGTGTGTCCGGGATCCCCAACTGCTCATAGTCAATGTCCATCAATTTCAATTCTGATACACAGGGATTAAGGTGAAAAATATTAGGCTGGAAAAGGTGGTCTTGAAGAAGATCCTAGTAATCGAAACGTACCAAAATCAGCAATAGTGTCATTTTTTTGCCCCTCGAACAAAAGTGTCAATGCATCACCTTCGTCTTCTGCCTTGAAGGTTACTGTGTCGTCATTGTTGAGCATCTTGAAGATTTTGGACATGTTTGCTGTGTTGATACCAAGAGCATTTGGCCTATCACATCGATAATGGTCGAATGCTCCGGCTCCAAGTCGAACTGCAACCAATGAGACATGAGCGGAATCCATGGATTGAATCGAAATTTCTTCCTCACTGCAATCAAGGTTGCAGTCCTTTACAAGATCCTTAATGGATTCGATGATTTGTTTCATCGTGACGCCATTGGTCAACCGAGCTTCGAACATTGTACTTTGTTTGCTTTGAAAAAGGACTTCAAAAGAGTGTTTGCGCTCTGTCCTCAAAAGTTGAAAAAAATGCCGCCCCATAGTGCACCAGTACAACGTCTACGCAGGTAGGTTTTGAAGCACCTTTCCGTACGACAGTTTCCAAAAAGATGATTATTTTATGGCGCGTTATTTACAGTAGCCGGCTGGCTATGTTGCTCTTGTTATATGGCTTGGCGCGAAAAACGTTTGACACTTGACTCAAAGGACTAAATCATTTGTTGACGGGTGATAGACGTACGGAATTGAGCATCAAACCAGCAACATGGTTCAACAAAAATTGCTAGTGCCAACCAACTTGGATGATTAGCAATGAAGCTTGTGAAATTTCTACAGAAGCTGAATAGAGAACAAGTGACAATCGAGCTAAAGAATGGGACTGTAATACAAGGGACGGTAGTTGGTGTCGACGCAACCATGAACTGTCATTTGAAGAAAGCCAAAGTAACTGTGTAAGTTGTGTCAAAACCTGCATACATCTGGTAACTGCACACTCTCTTTCTCATTAACTTCCCCTTTTTTCTCTATGGTTTCCTAGACGCGGTAAGAATCCCGTTGCATATGCTACCCTTTCCGTTCGAGGTTCAACAATGAGGGCGTGGTTATTGCCAGAAAGCTTGAATTTGGATGCACTTTTGGTTGACGATACTCCGAAAAAGTCCTTGGTTCAAAAATCAGCTGCAAACACTACTCAAGGACGAGGCAGAGGAAGAGGTCGCGGGCGTGGTCGAGGACGAAGATAGGTGTTGCACCCTATCGTAATTTTTGGGATTTGTGTAGTCGGCATGTTTCAGGGTAGGTCACAAAACAATAAACATATCATAAACAACCTATAACTAGCACCTAAGCTGTTGAAGAATAACTAGCACCTAAGCTGTTGAAGAATGGAAAATCCTAATATTTTAATCGTAGTAAGGTTTTCAGCAAAAAATTGGGCGCTACGTGAAGGCTGCTTGAGTTTCCAAAACGAGCGGATGAAACGCTGCAACCTACGCGCAGTCATCTCTAGGACCAGAATGGATCGTCCTCTTCAATTCCTTCGGCTGGGCTTACCCCGCTTGTCTGGTCGATAGTGTTGGGAATAATGACATCCGATAGATCCATTTGTTCGCCACCCTTATTTTCCCATTGCCCTTCAATATTGTAATAGAGTCTGCTCTTGGGTGTCATGACATGGCAAATAACACCTCCGTAGTCCAGAACCATCCACCCTGATTCTGCGCTACCTTCAGGAACACCGGTCGAACCTGGTAACAGATCGAAATCATTTGAAACGTCATCCTTTATTGCAGCAGCGATCGCTTGATTTTGAGGCCGGGAATTTCCACTTGAGATCTGAAGTCGAACATTGATTGAGTAAAGATCGAGATGCGCCGTGTTACAATATAGTCATTCGTATAAACTTACAACAACGAAAGTAGTCAGCGTTGATACAGTTGATACGCGGAGAGCTACAATGTTTTCTGCTTTCCTTCCATCAGCGGCCCGAACAATACACCTGACGAGGTCAGCTAATTCGTCGTCCTCTGGAGTCGTTATAGGCAAATCTCCTACCATGTTCTTTCCTTCCATTGGTTTCTCGATGAAGTCGATCATTTCGTTACTTTTATCCTTTGCAAAAAGTTCAGAGTTTAGCGGTCTACAAACAGGATTTCACAGGTTAGAATATTCGTTTGAAAGATGTGCAGAGTAAGTAGTACTTGAAAGCATGCATCTGACCTCAGTTTGTTGAGCGACAAGGAAACCACTCTATACCTCATTATAATGGCGGCAAGGATGAAGGATCGAAACATTACAGTCGACGGCAGTTGATGAGAAAGATGGTGCTGTTCTCAGAAGGAAGAAGAGTTACAGTATTATTGTGTCACGTCCCAGGAGAACATTTCACCGAATTTTTGGTTCACTTGAACGACAGATACAGTACACGTACTGTAGCATGACAGACACATGTTAGTCTGTTTATTCAAACGTGTACCGGTGCCCTGGTACACGTGTACCGGTATGGTCAGTACAAGTACCGGTAGTGTACTATACATCTGCCACTAAAATTCTCATTTCATGCCCTCAAAAAATGCCAAGTTTCGCGCGAAGCGCGAAGTTTCATGAAAGTTGAAAGGGGTTCCGGGCGAAGCCCCGTACCTTTTCTACCGAGGAAAACCAACTTTCATGAAACCTCATGTGATGCATCGACGGTTGATGCCAGACCGGCCACCACTACTACCAAGGACAAATGATAAATGTAAACTGCACTACTACAACTATTCATAGGTGA